TTTCAGCTCTCCGTCGGCCCAAGACGGCCCAAGCGGCCCCAAAACATCGACCCTACAGCGCCCGAAGGCCTCCAAGATGGCCCCATGACAGCCCAAGAGGCCCCCAAGAGGGCCCCAAGAAGGCACCAAGACGGCCCAGGAGGCCCCCAAGACGCCCAAGATAGCCTCCAAGACGGCCAAGATGGCCTCCAAGATGCCTCCAAGACGGCCAAGATGGCCGTCAAGACGGCCACAATGGCCCGAAGATGCACCCAAGACGGCCCCAGATGGCCTCAAAATGGCCTTAGACTGCCCAAAAAGCCCGCCAGAGGCCTCCAAGACGGCCCGAGACCCCTAAACGACGTCCCCAGGAGGCCCAGAAACTCGGAAACCACCTGGTCCGATAGCTCGCCCGACTCAGTATTCCCCGAAGGCGTTCGAAACCCACTCGGGGAACCTGTGGCCCGATAGCTTGGCCAAGCTCAAACCCAACTTTCGGTCACGCAGGCGCTTCCAAAAAGGCAGGGGGCGGCGGTGATTCGCCGTAGGCGTCTTCAATCCGCCGCCCCTTTCTGGTTTTGACACAGAGGTGCCCGGCGTGCTCGATCCTACTGGGGCTTCGGCCCGTCCCGCCAGCTAAGCGAAAGGACCACAAAACCTGAAAGGATCCTCCAAGACGGCCCAAGATGGCCTCCAAGACGGCCAAGATAGCCTCCAAGTTCGCCCAAGATGGTCCAAGATGACCTCCGAGACGCCCAAGAGGGTCCAAGATGCCACCAAGTCCGCCCAAGAAGCCGCCAAGACTGTCGAAGAGGGCCCAAGAGGCCTCCAAAACTGCCCGAGAGGCGTCGAACACGTTCACCAGGAAGGCCCGAAGAGGCCAAAATCATTGGTTGTCCGTTTGTTTTTGAAAGATTTTGGCACGTGCTTCTTTTCGGCCCTCCGACAGCCCAAGACAGTCCAAGAGGCCCCCGAAATCGCCCCAAGATCGCACAAGAGACCTCCAAGATGCGCCATGACGGCCGAAGAGGCCCCCAGAACGGCCCCAAGAGGGCCCCAAAACGGCCCAAGAGGCCTCCAAGACGCCCAAGGTCTCCAAGACGGCCCTGGAGCGCATCAAGAGGGTCCCAAGTCGGTTCAGAGAGGTCCCCAAGACGGCAACCGATGGCGTCAGACGGGTCAGGAACGCCCGAAGACTGCCAAAGAGGCTCCCAAGAAGCCTCCAAAGGCACCCAGGAGGCCCCTAAGAGGCCCAGCGAGGCTCCCAAGAAGCCTCCAAAAGGCCAGAGGCCCCCTGAAGGTCCGCAAAAGGCCTCCCACAAGGCCTCCCAAGAGGTTCCCAAGAAGTGTCCTCCTCCTACTCATCCTCTCATTCCTCCTCCTCCTCCTCCTCCTCCTCCTCCATCCTCCTCCTATTCATCATCCCACTCCATCTCCTGATCCTCACCTCCTCTTGCTCCCCCACGCGTTCCCCGATGGCTTTCCAAACCGACTCGGGGAACAACTGGCTCGATAGCTTGGCCAAGCTCTAGTCGCAACGTTCGGGCACATAGGCTCTTCCAAAAAGGCAGGGGGCGGAGGTGATTCGCCGTATGCGTCTTCAACAATCGAATCTTACTTCGACGGACGGATGTTGTTCTTTTCACCAGCGGAAAACGGGTGTGCCCCCCTGGATAATGTTCATTCTGGACGCTTGGAGAGTCAGGTCTAAGATCCTACGGAAGGAAGAGGATTTCCGTACACACCTGTTTCCCAGGCGGAAACCTGGAAGCGAGTGCGAAGAGTGGGGGCGGTCACCTCTTACTTATTCCGCCAAGGGCGAAGGGCAACGCGGCAGGCTGCACCTCCCTCTGTGGTAAGCATTGGCGAGGGGAAAGGCGGAGGGCCGGGCGGGGATTCGGGATGGGGAGCAGCGGGAGAGCGTGCACTCCTCCTCCTCCTCCTCCTCCTCACCCTCCCCGTCCCCCTCGTCCCTCGTCCCTCGTCCCTCGCCCCTCGTCCCTCGTCCCTCCTGCCTCTACCCTCCTCCCTCCTCCCTCCTCCCTCCTCCCCCCTCCTCCCTCCTCCCTCCTCCCTCCTCCTCTCTCCTCTGTCCTCTCTCCTCGTCCTCCTCCTCTCTTCTCCTCCTCCTTCTCCTGCGCCTCCTCCTCCGTTCTCCCTGTCTCTACCCGCGTTCGGCGTACATTACACCTCCTTGTGGCTGCCTTGGGGCACAAGAAAACCTCTCGCCGCGGGGTCACGCTGTGGAGCCGGGTTGGGACCCGTGACCTCATGAGGCCCTCCAGTGGCCTCGTTGGGCACTGGTACTGCAGTCGGGGGTGCGTAAAGGTGGGGTAAGCGCAAAGGTGGGGTTCGAGGGAAATCGCTCGAAATGGCTCCTGAAATAAGTGGATGTGGGCATTCAAGTGGGTTCGTCCCCTAACACCACCTTGGGATACCTATACGACCACCCTTCGGGTGATAAGGAGGTTCGGGGGGGGAGGAACCAACGTCTCACTCGATCGATCTCACAATCGATCTCACTCGAACTATTTCATTCGATCGATCTCACAATCGATCTCACAATCGTTCTCACTATCGATCTCACAATCGATCTCAAATCGATCTCACAATCAACGTCATCATCATCATCAACCTCATCGTCATCAACGTCATAAACATCATCATCATCATCATCATCATCATCATCATCATCATCATCATCATCATCATCATCATCATCATCATCATCGGGACACCACCATCATCATCACCTCATCACCATCGTCATCAACATCATCATCATCACCACCACCATCACCATCGGGACACCATCATCGTCACCATCATCATCAACATCATCATCATCATCATCATCATCATCATCATCATCGGGACACCATGGTCATAATCATGATCAGCATCGGAACACCATCATCATCATCATCGCACCATCATCTTGATCATCATCATCAGCAGCATCACCATCGAGACACCATCATCATCATCGACAACAGCATCATCAACATCATCATCATCATCATCATCATCATCATCATCATCATCATCATCGGGACACCATCATCATCATCGTCACCATCTTCATCATCACCATCATCATCATCAGCATCATCATCGGGACACCATCATCATCATCAACATCAGCATCATCATCACCATCATCGGGCCACCAACATCAAAATCAACATTATCACCTCATCATCATCCTCATCATCAACATCATCATCATCATCGGGACACCATCATCGTCATCATCATCAACGTCATCATCGGGACACCATCATCATCACCATCATCACCATCATCAACAGCATTATCATCAACCTCATCATCACCATCATCATCGGGACACCATCATCATCAACTTCATCATCATCAGCGGCATCATCATCTCATCACCTCGTCATCATCAACATCATCAGGATCATCAACATAGTCATCATTATCATCATCATCATCATCACAGGGACACCATCATCATCAACAACATCAACATCATCAACATCATCATCATCATCATCATCATCATCGGGACACCATCATCATCACCACCATGGCCATCATCATCACCATCATCATCGTCATCATCATCGTCAACATCATCATCATCATCATCATCATCATCATCATCATCATCATCGGGACACCATCATCATCGCCACCATCACCATCATCATCATCAACATCATCGACATCATCATCGTCATCATCATCATCATCGTCATCATCATCATCAACATCATCATCATCGGGACACCGACGGGACACCGGCGGGACACCGGCGGGACACCGCGCGGCACCGGACGCCGGAAGGGAATCATTTGGTCCGGCCGCGCCTCAGCCACAGCGGGACACCGGCGGGACACCGCGCGGCACCGGTTGCCGGAAGGGAGTCATTTGTTCCGGCCGCGCCTCAGCCACAGGAGACTTTCCTCTCGCCCGCCCACGCAGCTTCGCCTCGCCCGCACGCACGGCACGCACGAACACGAAACCGAAACTGATTTCCCGGTAGGGGGCCTTTCCGTTACGATCTCACCCCCTCACCTCCGAACCACCCCCTCTACACATCGGGGGTTTGGGGGTTTGGGGGCCATCCTGGCTCTCTTCGGGCTGCCACGGGCTCCCCTGGGGCTGTCTCAGGATCTTCTCGAAGCCGTCTTGGGCAACCTGGAGCCTTTCCCTGGGCCCGTTCCGTAACCTCTTGGGCAAACATGTAGCCATCTCGGGACTCCCTTGAGCCTTTCGGGGTGATCTCTTGCGGCCTCTAAACGCCCGTGAAACAGTTTTCGACCGAGAAGTGGGAACGTCGAACATCAACAAAACAAGTGGCCGATTGACTGTTGGTTTTGTCGGGAAAAAGTTCTCTCTAATAAGTCATGTTAGGCCGGTCCTCTAGGCTGGCAGGGGCTTTCCCAAAGATGCGGTGACGTACCCAATATTGACACTCTCTTGCGCCCCCTTTGAGCGACATGGTGTCCGTCTTGGCAAACCACACAGGGAGGCATCAAGGGCGGGACCTGGACTGCGGCGAGGCCACCAGGGCCCGGGGCCAACGTAGCAGCACGTAGTGATAAAAAGGAGAGAAATCCCTGCACATATATAAGTACATGTGTATATATATATATACACTCAAAGGTGTTGAGAAAAAAGATAACAGCAAAAGAGAGAGAGAGAGAGAGAGAGAGAGAAGAGAGAGAAAACGAGAGAAAGAGAGAGAGACACATTAAGATATATATAGAGAGAGAGAGAGAGACAAAAACAACAAAAAACCGCAAACGTAATAAGTGGAGGGGGAGCGAGAGAGAGAGAGAGAAAGAGAACGAGAGAGAGAGAGAGCAACAACAACAACATGTAATAGAGAGAGAAGCGAGAGAGAGAGAGAGAGAAGGAGAGACACATAAACAGTTGAGCAGGGAAAGGATAGAGGGAACGAAGGAGAGAATGAGGGAACAAAGGGCAGCGGAAACAGAAAGAGAGAGAGAGTGAGAAAACAAAAACCAGATGACAAAGAACGAGAACGCCTCCGAGGGCGGCACGAGGTACTCCACCAAATGCTCCTGTCCGGGGCCGCAACGTCGAGGGAGGGCGTGAGCCGGCGGGCGCCCCACCCACGGGGCTACACGTTGCCAGCCAACAACCATGCATGGACAATTGCGGGGACCTTCGAGGGCAAGCGGGCCCAGAGACAGGGGAGGGGCCAAAGCTCGGGGACAACGCCATGTCTTCGCGGACGGCTCGCGGGTCGACTTTCGTGTGATGCCCGAGAGGGGATTGGCGCACCGCGGCCCGACGCATGTGCGCGGACGAGGGGAGACCAGGGGCCCGATGGAAAGAAGAGCAGGGCGGCCATGACATCCAGGGAGATCGCATAGCCTCGGCCACGGCATCCGCGCACCCCGAGCCCCTCTTCGCCGCCCTGCGGCGGCCAAGTATGCTGGTCAACCGGGGCCAACCCCCAGCCGCCCCCCCACCTTTCGCCGCCGCGCAGCCCCGCTGCCCACGGAGAGAAGCCCCTCCAGCGGGAACGCAGCAGGTCTGACAGCGCCACCTTTCCGTGGGCCTTAACCTGGAGGAGGACGAACGGCGAGGGGTAACGCAGGATGGCGATGCGCACCAAAAATGCGGGGATGACTCGCAGACATCTGATCGTCCGCCGCCTGGAACGATGATGGCGAGGGCAGCGATATAACCTCTTCCTTAAACACTTGGAGTAATTGGGCGCGAGCTGCCCTCGCACACTCGGCGATCGGGGTGTCGATCACAGCCTTCTTTGCATCATACAGATACTAAGCAATTGCAACTCTCTGGACGGTTCGCTTGCGCTGATCATCTGTCACATTCGCCGACGCGACAAACCTGCGATCAAGGAGTGGCTCGATCGGGTCATTGGGTCTGCAGATCTATAGAACAGCCGCCCAGAGCTCGGGACAACTAAGGTAGCGACCTCGTGCGTCCAGCTCATGAAGACATCCAGATTTGCGCGGGCAGCCCCTTTGCGACAAGCGTCGCTCCGTCGCCCCCCCCCCCAAAAAAAAAACCAAACGCGCCAGAGTCCTTATCATTGAGATCTGCCATGCAGGAGGCATTAGACCAAAGACATCTCTTAGCTTCGGCCCACTTAGAGCCGCGAGAGCACGTGCTGTCGGGGGCCCCGGCGCCCACTTCGAAATGCGCTTCGCAATCGTACCTCCCAGGGATCCAGAATAGCTTCTTCCAAACCACGACCGATCGTCTCCTGGACGGGCGCCCCCGGGAAGATCTCGCGAGCTTCGGCGAGAGCGCGGCGGGCATGTAACGCTGTTGGCACAGGCGCGGGCAGGCTGGAAACGACTGACCGGCCTCGTAAAATCCCTGCGCGAACTGGCGAGCGAGCCAACGAGGTGGGGGCCAGTTGCTTGCAGTCCAGACTACCGTGGGCAAGTGTTGCTGACGCTGCTGCTTAAGGCGAGACCAGAGAGGGCGCCAATTAGTAACTGTCGAGAGCGCAGAACAAATGAGCGCAGCTGCGCACGTGACGCGGAGAGATCGAGGACGGATGCGAGACCATGGACGGAGCGAGAACAAAGAAGAGAGATGGACAAAATAAAGGTGGGTGATGAAGCACGCGGTGCAACGCCCAGCTCCCCCACTTCGAGATGGATTTCGGCATCGGCGAGAGAGAGCTGTGCGGAAAAAAAACTTCGAGGCCGCTCGAGCGCTGCGCAGAGCGGTTGCAACTGAGGGGCGGCCGCCGAAGCAAGATCATGTATGGCACCGCGCCGCTCGCGAAACACCCGCCCGCATCGCGCCTCTCGACGCCGATGGGCCGACCCACGCACCTAAACATTCAGCGCAGTCGACTATGGAGATGTCAGCGCACTTGGGCACTCGCCTAGACGAGGAACTCTGCGCGATCTCTTTTGGCTCGCACGAGAACGCAGCACCGACAGGGATCAATTTGCACTTCTGAAGCTTGAGCTGGAGACCCACTAGGATCTGCGCAGCAATTAAAAGCATCCAGTCAAGCCCAAAGGCTTTGATGCCCCGAAGAGACACCCCATCATCGGCCGCGCAAGCGCCAACCTCCGCCCCAGGAAATTTCTTCCCCATCCTGCGCGCGTCACGAATTCTCGGGCCCATGCACAAGGGCCCTCATGGCGCCACTAAGTGGGTCACCCTGCATGGCGCCCGACTCAATGAGGCAGAAGAAGGAACAGAGGCCTTGCAAAGCTACAGAAGCGGCAGCGAATTAATAAGTGGCACGAGTGAAATGCTAAAAGCCGAGAGAGAGAGAGAGAGAGAGAGAGAGAGAGAGAGAGAGAGAAAAAAAAAAAAAAGAAAAAGAAAAAGAGAGAGAGAGAGAGTGAGAGAGAGAGAGAGATATTGATAAGCCCAAGCAAACACCAGAGAAGGATATGACAAGGAGAGAGGGAAGCATCACCAAAGTCCAGCAAGAGCAGAGCAGGAGGCTCATCCTGCACGGCAAGCTGCATGCTGGCAAGCAAGACGCGCCGACATGTCGAGTAGAGTAACGTCATCAAGAAAGGTTCCATTTAGCCACGAATCCTCTCTGGCCAGGGCGAGCGTCGCGCGTGAGAACCGGCTCGATGGGGCAAATTACACGCCGAGGCAAGAATCTTGGCATCTGTGTTTTTGAGCGCCAGTGGCCTCGCGGCAGCGGGCTCGCGAAGAACCAACGATGAGTCTTCTGCGCGTCTACCTCTAGGGGCCAACGCCAGAAGTAGCTCGTCGAGCTCGACCGGCGGAGGATGCCCACTCAGAAGAACCTGAAGCGCATTGAAAAGAACAGTGCCCGCCAGACGAGTCTGCTGCCAAGCAGCGCGCGGAAGCCCGTCAGGGTCCGGGGCCGTCGGCGAGGCACAGTCTATCGTTCGCTCAATTATCTCTTGCGTCGGGGGCGAAACCTCAGACCGATCAAAGGGCTCGACGTGCTTCTCTAAGCGCGCTCGAAGATGCCCGAGCGGGGCAGATTTCGACGCAAACTGGGGCCCACCGGCCCCTCAGGGCCCGGGTCGTTTCAGAAGGAGAAATGGAAGGAACGCCAGAGGAGGGGCCTTTAAGGCCCAGGAGCGGGAGCCTTGCCTCTTGGAACCCAGAGTCCCCCCCTGCGTCGCTCAGCCATCATATATGCTCGAAGGCGCTTCTTTCCATGATGCGGGGCGTGTTCCGCGCCGACCTGAGCACGGGCAGCCTCGATTAGTGCATCCTGAATATCACGTCTCAGGTGCTCGCATTGACGACGAAAGTCCAAGGAGCGAGCGGCGAGACCGTGGAGGGCGCCTCGTCGAGCTTCATGTGATCTTTAGCTATAGGCGCGCGAGTCAGCAGAATTGAGGCCAGCTTTGCATCGCCAAAATGAGCCGCTCTCGAAATCGAACGAAAAATGATCAAACGACCCTCCAGAAGCGGGGGGTCGCAGGGCGGGTCAGTCTGTCACGGGCAAGCCGCGCAGCCTCTCGCACCTACCTCTTAAGCTCACGCCAGTTGGGGATCGCCGATAGCCTCTCACTCCGACTGGCTGATCAGCGGCTGGAGCATCTCCTGAAACTCCCTGGACTTGCAGAGGAAGGCAGGAACAGCATGTTGGCCTCGAGGGCGTTGAAGCTGTCCACGAAACGTGGCGGAGACAGGAACATGATCAGAGATGCCAGCTGCATATAGTCGTTCTGGTTATGCCAAGACAAGCGCAGTAATACTCCATTGCAATAGCATCCATTGTGGCGTGGATGTGAAAACTTTGTTTAGAACCGCCAACTTGTGCTTACCAACTATGTAGTGCGTCGGCTTCTCGGGGTCAAGCTCCGTGAGGCCCGAGAGCGCGAGCCACCACGAGGCGCCATGCTCCCGCTCCCGAGGCTGCACAAGAAGACCTTGGTCTATCTCTGGAACATGAAGATGCATGGGCGCGTCGACCGAGAAATTGAAGTCCCCCATCACTAATACTGTGACCATTTCTGGACATTGTGCAGCAACCTGTGTCTCAGCAGCGATCCTGGCTGTCAGGGAATCCACCTGTTTTGAAGAGAGACCAAAGTTGTGAATGTTGTAGCAGACTCACATAATGTGCTCTTGACCTTCATGGAAGGGGAACGGACTTGCGCACGACCAAGAATCAACTCCGAACATCTGATGCGCTCCTCATCCAAACCTGCATGAAATGGTGTTTTGTCATTATCGGAAAAATCATGACCACGCCACCAGCAGTGTGAGAGGGAATAGATGCCACCATACCGGAGTGCAATCTGCGATGGTAGAGTTGACATGAAGGTTCCGCCTGCGAGCCGTGAACCTCCTGCATCGCAGAAATGGCGTGGTTACGGGAGAATTCACAAAGTTTGTCACGCTTCCTCTTTTTTATATCAGGCTGATGATGCAAAACAGCACGTGTTCCAAGTCCCGATCGAAATGTCTCTGTTAATGTAGAGGGGATGTCTTGCCATACAGTCATGGTGCGACTAAATACGCCACTGGACTTGATAGTCCATCGCATAGAAATGAGCCCGCTTTCTGGCCCACCTTCCTCGCATTGACAAACCCATAGTTCCAGAGAGTACTCGACCGTGCCTCCATTGTGTCACCAGGTTGGACAGCGATCGTCGGAACACCCTCGAAGTAGACAATGCCCTTGGTCCTGTTGTGCTTGATTCTCGCATGGGGATGCATGAGGTTCGCAATGTTTACCAGCCTTTTTGTTTGAATTTCGGTGCGTCCTCCTCCTCCTCCTCCTCCTCCTCCTCCTCCGCGACGGCGGCAGAATATTCATCTGCCAATTATTGTCGGGTGTCGGCAGCCCTCAAAGAAGTCCCAGACAATACGGACGAAGCGCATCATGTGAGCATTATTGGTGCACGTGTTACATAATCGCCCAGGGCTCTGCTGCAAGACGGGACCCCAGGGGCATTTCTTAATCGCCACCATACATAACGAGGAAGAGCAGCAAGAGGTGATGGGTTAACCAGCTGTGCCGAAGAGGGGGCCAGGAGAAGAGGGGGCAGCCCATCATATCCCGAGGCATGTGCGCGGACGAAGGGGGGTCCAGGGTGCGTATCGGGAGAAGAGCAAGAAAAAGGGCCATGAATCCTGGGAGATAGCATGACCCAAGACATGTCCGCGGGCGCCAAGTGGTGCAGGACGATCAGCCGCTGGTCAAGGCAAGCGGTGGGATGCAACGGAGGCGCACTGAAGCACGAAATCGGAGGAGAAAAGAACGCGAGAGGAGAAAGGGGGGGCCCGATCAGACCGTGAAGGCCGGCGCGGGAGCGTGGTATCCGCACACGCACACAATCCTCACCCCCAACTTCGACGCCCCCGAGCCAGAGGGAAGCTCCGCCACTGTCAGAGGGTTCCGAACCCGCTCGGCATGGAAGGCCTTCCGGACGCCAAACGGGCCAGATTTCCGACCAGACCCTCTCCGTGGTGGGGCAGGGTCCCAGAAGGGAGGCAACCCCTTGGACACTTGGGCAACCACATGTGAACTATGATCCTGTAGGTCAGCTTTCTCAAAAAGATGACCTACAGCATCTCGAAGATGACAGCAGAGAAGTGTACCCTAGCGGGGGAATTCGAGACCCCAGCGTCGACTGGACCCGTAAGGCCAGGGTTCGCGAAAGGTCTTAGGACACTGGCCCCTTCCACGCAGACCTCCGAACGAATCGAGCTCGAGCGGGGAATGTGATAGCCTCCGGCCAGAGGCACAATCTGACGCTCAAGACTTTTCTTCGTAAAAAAACCAAGGTGCGAGCCCCAGGAGACGCACGTTGATCGAAAAACCGAATGGGCACTGGGGGAGGATCAACAATAAATACTCTTGAGAAATGACAACTTATATCCCGTCGTGTTTTCTCACGACGCGAGGGGGCCTGGATTCATCGCATGGCCCCCCTCACCATCCCATGACAAAACGCCCGACCTGGGAAACCTCGGAGGGCCGCCAGGAAGGACCACTCGCGCGCGCCGCACCCCCCCCCCAAGGAGGAACGTTAGAGTGGACCAGCTCAGGTTGGAGAAACATCGACCAACTCAGGGGCGATACGTCGCCGATAGATCGACGATAGTCCCCATGTAGCGGATCCGCGTGGTCCTGGGCAGGGTGGGCCATCGGGGCCCCTAACGGCGGTCAGTGGGCGATTTGGGGCCGATGCGTCGGCCCCGGAGCCTGAGCCCATCCACCGCTCCCCCCCCCGAACGTTCCCCGTGAGGTCCGCGCGCGCTGCCCCCTCCCCCGCCCCGGCTGGGCGGGGTCCTCGCCCACGCCGAGGAACCGCCCGCAGAAGGACAGGACCAGGACCGCCGGCGGAGCCCCCCCCGCCCCCTGGCGGAGGGGTGCCCGCGCCAGAGGCGCGGGGCGGCGCTCGTCGTGCGGTGCCGAACCGGCGAGCGACGAGCGACGACGAGCGACGAGCGACGACGACGATGCGCGACGGACGACAAGCGACGAAGACGAGCGACGCAGATGCTGGCATCGCAACTTAGTCACAATGAGTGGCGTTGTACTATCTCGACCCTGGGACCCTCACGGATCGATGCGGCTCAAAAAATGCCGCAGAGATATCAGGGCCAGGGCTGCAGTCGAATTGTTGTTCACGATGTTGTGCGTGTGGACCTAGGCCCAAAAAACATCCCTCAAGAACATGAGACCATCAGTCTGACAAAACAAACAGAACATCTAAGGGTACCCTCCCCAGGATGCACAAGAACATCCAACAAGCACGAAGAACACGAGGGTATCCTCCCATAACCGACCACCATCTTATACCTCGGTCCGACTGTAATGTCTCGTGACGTCGGATCACAGTGAAGAAGGGGGCCACAGCTGACATACTCTCGTTGCAGAAGATAGCGACGGGAGGTTGTTGCTCATTTTCGGATCACCAGCTCCCAGGGGCCGTCCAAAGTCAACTCGGGATGGAGAGCTGGTCCTGTTGAAGGGCTGCAGGCCACTGGAGAGTCAAGTCGTGAATTTGCCTGGTGGAGGGCCCAACCATATGCAGCTGTGGGTACCGCAGTCGTGAGTATCCTATTCAGTGGAGCTCCTTGCATGTGAGGGGTGTGCCGAAATGGGTGGCAGGGACGCATGCGAGCGGTTGCGATGGGACCTTCGGTGGAGCTCCCTATGGTGCCACGAAACTTGTGAGGAGTGCGCCGAAATGGGTGCCGGGAGCCCATGCGGGCGGTGGTACTGGGACCGTCAGAGGAATTCTGTATTGGGCTGCGAAAACGATGGGTGTGCCGGAATGGGTGGCGGGGACGCATGCGGGCGGTGGCACTGGGACCTTCATTCCCTATCGGGCCACGAAACTTGTGAGGGATAAATCAAAATTGGTGGGGGGGGACGCATGCGGGCGGTGGCACTGGGACCTTCGGTGTAGCTCTCTATGAAGTGGTGGCTGGGACGCATGCGGGCGGTGGCACTGGGACCTTCGGTGGAGCTCCCAATCGGGCCACGAAACGTGTGAGGGATGTGCCGAACTGGATGGGGGGGACACATGCGGGTGGTGGCACTGGGGCGTTCGGTGGAGATCCCTATTATGGGATCACGAAACGTGTGAGGGGTGTGCCAGAATGAGTGGCAGGGGACGCATGCGGGCGGTGGCACTGGGAACTTCGGTGGAGCTCCCCATATGGGGCCACGAAACGTATAAGGGGTGTGCCGAAAAGGTTGATGATGATGATGCTGCTGATGATGATGACGGCGGTGATGATGATGATGATGATGATGATGATGATGATGATGCTGATGCTGATGATGGTGATGATGATGATGATGATGATGATGATGGTGATGGTGATGGTGATGGTGATGGTGATGGTGATGGTGATGGTGATGGTGATGATGGTGATGACGATGACGACGATGATGCGGAGGACGACGACGAGGACGAGGAGGAGGAGAAGGATGCTGATGCTGCTGCTGCTGATGGTGGTGATGGTGGTGGTAGTGGTAATGCTGCTGCTGCTGAGGATGATGATGCTGATGATGCTGATGATGATGACGATGATAATGATGATGCTGATGATGATGGTGGTGTTGATGATGATGATTTTGATGATGTTCGGGAGGAACCGGTTCAGGGGGATAACACCGAACTGGAATGGGTGATACATCGCCGATTTGCTCTCGCTGGCACAACTGCACGCTCCCGGGCGGGGCGGGGCGGGCCATCGAGCCGCAATGGACGAACTATCGGCGGGTGTCGATGCATCCCCACCTGGGCCTATGCTAGAGGCCTCGTCGATGGGGTCGGAGGATCGCGCCGCGTCGCCGATCCATCGGCGATGCATCGGCGATACACTGGCGACGCATCGTCGACGTAGGCGATGCATCGGCGACGTCGACGTGAAGCAAATCGGGCTCCACATCGAGCCCCATCGGCGATGCATCGGCAACGCGGCGCGATCCTCGGACCCCATGTACTCGACCCCATCTAGGAGGGCCCAGATATGTCCTCCTAGCCTTGCCACTTTGTTTTATCGTCAGAACTCGGCTCTCTGGCGGCCGTTCGGGACGATCAGAGAACCCCGGGCACGCTCTCGGCGAGGCGCAGCCAGTGGAAGGTATCCCGAGGATGAAACGCCGCCGAGTACCAACGAGAACGTTCGAACACCTCGAACCTCGACCATGTCCCCCCCGAGCATATCCCCCCCTACCGTTGCCTCCGACCCCCCTCTCTCCTCTCGACCTGCCCTCGTGGACGAAAAACATAACCGTATCCGGGGCCTCACGAGCTGGGCTCCTGGACCGCGACCCCGCGTATACGAGGCATTTTGTCGTGGAAATTCCGCGCGGACCGTATCCGTGCGACCGCGAATCCGCAGGATCGCGCCCCTGAATCCAGAGCGCGATGGCGCGGGTACGGATACGGTCGCCGCTGGTGATGTCCGGCGGAGCGGCGGCGGCCGCACGGTATACCTGCCCTCCTCAAGCCACTGGACCGCGCGCCCGACGATCCCGTTCGGGTTCAGGGGCTCCGAGCTCGGATCTGGGTGCGCGGGTCCCGCCCCCATGCTGGCCCTGCCTCACAGCTCTTGGCTGGCGCCCTTCTGTTGCGTCTCTCTCTATAGATTGAGTCTACATGTCGATACGGATGTATTTCATACGGCATACAGACACACGTATGTGTTATAGTGCATTGATGTCTTTGCCTCGGCGCAGATGTGTAGACGTGTACATATTCACCCGTACACCGATCGATATATACATACACATGTATATGTGTATATGTGTACACTTTTAATCCATGTGGCCGAACGGGGTAACATACGTAAAAGTGTGTTGATATCCATATCTTGCCGCAGATCTGTAGAAATGCAGCTCTGCGCATGTACATACATGCATCTACATACTAAAACCATCGCGCGCGCTTCGCGCGCGCTCAAGTTCTAGCTAGACTGGATGGTCAGAATCTTGGGTATCTCTATATTATGGTACTCCTCCTCCGGGGCTTCCAAGAACCAAGCAGATGGCCCAAGCGGCTTCCAAGACTTCCTGAGGTCCACCCACGGCAGCCTAAGAGAGGCCCAAGAAACACTGGACGTAGCCGGAGGAAGAGGGCAGAGAAGGGGAGGTGAATGAGGTTCCCTGGGGGGAAAGGAGGATGAGGAGTTCGAGAGGGTGAAAGAGGCCGCAGAGGAGGAGGAACGGGAGAAAGAGAAGGATAACATACGATACGTATTGCGTATGTCCATGTTTGCAAGCGTAGCGAAGCTGCCAGGCGAGCTTGAACAAACAAAACAACTGTTGGAATTCCTTTTTTCAAGTGCCCTCGGGGCCTCTCTTGGGGCTCTGTTTGTCCTCTTTGGGGCTTCTTGGGGACCTCTTGGGGTCTCCTGAGGGTCTCCTGGTGCGAAGATCTCGGGTTCTCGGTTCACGTTCCCGATCCTGGGCCGCGGTTGGGGCCCTCTCGGGCCGACTCGGGCCGTCTTGGGCGTCACTTCAGGCCGTTTTGGAGCCGTCTTGGGGCCGTCTTGGGGCGCTTTTGAAACCTATGGGCCGTCTTGCAGCGTCGGGAAGCGGAACAAACGAATCAGCAAAATTGATCAAACACCTATGGAACATCTGTGTTGTTTGGCCTCTTCGAGCTCTGTTGGGAGACCTCTCGGACGCCTCTTGGATATCTTGGGGCCTCTTGGGCCGTCTGGAAGCCGTCTTGGGCGTCTTGGACCGTCTAGTGGCCTTCGGCCCATCCCGCCACCGTGCCTGGGTTGTGGGTTAAAGCCTCGTGGAAGTTCGTCGATATCGTGGGAGGCGTTCGGGGGCCTCTTGGAGGCAGTGTGAGAGGCCTCTTGAGGGCCTTTGGGGAGCCTCTTGGGGCCTCTTTTTGGGTCCCTTGGGAACCTCTTGGAGCCTCCAGGGGGCCTCTTGAGCTCTCTTGGAGGCCTCTTGGGGCATCCAGGGGGCCTCTTGGAGCGGAAGACTCGAATTGTCGGCTCATGTTCCCCCTGTTGGTCCCCTTATCGGGGCCATCTTGGAGCCCCCTTGAGCGATCTTGGGCGCCGCTTGGACCGTTTGGGGGCCCTCTTGGACCGTCTTGGGGCACTCTTGGGGGCCTCTTGGGGCTGTTTGGGGTCCTCTGGGGCCATCTTGGAGCATCGGGAGTCCATTCCGCGAGAACGCGAAACAACATACAGCAAACACAAGGAAATCAATGATGTGTGCCCCTTTGGGCCCTCTTGGGGGTCCTCTTGGAGCGCTCTTGGGGCGTCATTGGAACCTCTTGGGCCGTCTTGGGGCCATCTTGGGCGTCTTGGAGCGACCTTTGGCCCTCTCGGGGCCCTTTGGGACCATCTTGGGGGCCTCCGGGGCCCTCTTGGAGGCATCTTGGGCCGTCTTGAGGCCCTTCGGAGGCCCCGGGGAGGGGGTAGCAAAAAGCTTGCCCGGAGGGCTGCGGAGTGGTCGCCCCCTGGCTGAGGGGGGTCTATACCTTATGTCTGTATGTATGTAAGTATGTATGTATGTATGTATGTAGGTAGGTAGGTAGGTAGGTAGGTATGAATGAATGAATGAATGAATGAATGAATGTACGCATGTATGTATGTATGCATGCATGCATGCATGTATGTATGTACACATATATACACACACTAGAACTATCGCGAGCGCGTCGCGCGCGCTTAGGTTATATCTGGTCGAGTGCTCACCGCATTGAGGCAACAAGGCGGTAATTAATAATGAGGTCATCATTCTCTGTTTCCTCCGGCCTCTTCCTCATTCCTCCTCCTCCGTTCTCATCGACCGGTCGACCGGCGATCTGTCGCCAAGCTTCTTGGGAACCTCTTGAC